TAAGGGGGTTTTGCCAAGAGAGAGTAATTGGGGATCCAGATCCAGCAGAAACCTGAAGCCCCTAGAAATTCTCTAATTTGTCTATGAGTCTTGGGGACTGGAATGGAACAGACAGCCTGTTTCCTCTCAGGGCCCAGTGTACATTGTCCTTGTGACAGGTGAAACCTGACAGTATCCTGGCAAATCTGAGCTTTCTTTCGGGAAACCTTACATCCTGCTTTTCACAACAGGAAGAGAAGGAAGTGAGTTTTTTCCATACAATCCTCCTGAGTTGGTCTAGTCAACAGAAGATCACCTATGTACCGGATGAGTGTGCATCCATATTGGCCAGCCAAGAAAGCCTTTAGGTTGGACACCAAGGTAGTCTCAAAGATAGTAGGAGGGTTTTTAAAGCCAGTGGCAACTGAGTCCAAGTCAATTATCCCTTCTCTCCAGTACTAGAACTTTCCCATTAGAAGGCAAAGATTGGTTGGCTCTGTGGGGCCAGGCAGATGCAGAAAACTGTGTCCTTAAGGTATAGGCAGGTAAAGAACTTTGCCTCAACTGGGATAAAGCCCAAAAGTGTGTTTGGGTTTGGGACCATAGGGTGTAAAGTAACAATTGCTGAGTTGACTTCACAAAGGTAGTCTGTCAAGATGTTTTTGGATCTCAATTTGGGCCTTGTGAAGAATGTAGTAGTGCCTCTGGCTAACAGGAATGCTGCTGGCTTTAATCCTACCACCACGGAGATATATTCTGAGCCAGTCTGTGGGGGTTGTCCTCATCCCATATTCCTGCACTCTTAAAGGGAAGCTCAGGTATCTCAGGAATCTCTTTCTTAGAGGCACAGAGTTGCCATTCCTCCCCCCTGTGCTACTGTGGGAGTTAGAATCTTGGCTTCAGGCCCTCTCAGCTTTAAGGCTTCCATGCCATCAGAGTAGTGGGAAGAAGCTGTCAGCAGTCTGCAGGTGGACTTACGAGTTTGGATGATGGACTACATTAGATCAAACAGAGCCTCAGGCTTTTCTGTGAAGGAGGAGGTATGGTGCTTTCAGTTTAGGAGGTCTGTGGTGGCAAAGGGCTGGTAGATCAGCCCTTTGTATCTGACTGTGCTGTTCACAATGTATTGGGCCCTGGACCTCTCTCAGAGCATCTGCAGGTTGGTGGGTCCCGGGGGAAAGCTAGGCTCATGTTGGGACTATTCAAATGTTCCTGGTTTGACCTAGGGGCCAGTCTCCCAGGGAGCTGCAGAGTGAGGACTAGTGGGCTTGGAGTGAGCATGAGGTTCATAGGGTCTGAGGAAGGTGGAGTTGTTGCACTGTCAAGGACTTCTGGGCCCAGCCTTGTAGATGTATTTGCTGCTGGGGATTTCCCATCTGATGCTGCTTCCCCTTCCGAGGGTGGAGATGACGGGGCAGAAGGTGGTAGTAAAGATGGGTACAATGGCACATAAGGGAGCCGGGTCTCCTCAGGGTGCCCTGCTAATATGGGTTTCTTTGGCTTTTTACATTTTTCCCTGCACTTGGAAGCTGCTGCCATCCTGGCTGCCATGACCCTACATGCTTCCTGTAGGTGGGGTTTAGCCATGTGGGCTGACTGAGGACTGCATCCTGCCAACAGTCAATATAAGGAAACTGATTTGAGTGTCCAGGATCTCCTACAACCACTTCAAAAACTCTATTGACTATGACCTTATCTAATGACCCCTTCAAGGGCCATCCTACACCAGAAGCAGGCCAGTCTGTTTCACAGAAGGTCCTAAGCTTGTCAGAAGTCAGCTTGACTCTGTAATCTCTATTAAATCCCTTTTTAATGATCTTAAGCATGCACTCCAAAGGGGTGTTCTTACTCTGACCTCTTCCCATTCCTCCCATTGTCAGATGTCCAGACAGAGACAGAAATGGAAGGGATGATGGTTGTGGAGAGGAGGTAAGGGGTCCTCCTTTCCATCACACAGGGGAAAACAAATAACAACACTCACTTTGTCCATCTCCAGCCACTTCCCTTTTGGGGATGTAGGCATCTCTTAGCTTCTGAGTCTGTATAGACCTCAGACCAGAAGCCCTATTAGGGCTCCCATAGACCATATGAGTTTGCCACGGGCCTGTGGATGGGGACTCCATACTTGCTTTGTAGCTGGGTTGTTTCAGGTTCACACTTTCACACACTCTCACACAACACAGTACTTCCACCCTGCTCCTGACCCTGAGAGACATGGTTACACCCCAAAAGGCGATTTCCAGGTTGGGAGTTGATCAAGCTCCCCTTCTGCCACTTAGGTGCAGTTCTAAATTTGAACCCAGGTTCTTACCAGTCTGATAAGCAGGGCTCCCAAGTTGGTTCCAAGATCTTTATGGGTTCCTTTTTGTGACTGAAACTCGCCTCCTTGGTTAGCCAGGAGAGAGGCTCCTTCCCCTTGGATCAACAAGTCTGGTGGTGCCTGGCAGGGGCAGCACTCCTGCCAGGCTGGGGATGCTGAGTTAGTGAAAAGGAGGTGAAAGCACACCCTCAAAATCCCAGACCCAAGTCCCCAGAAATGTAGGATGGCTCAGACAGAGAGACGGGGCACCAAAGCTTTCATGGAGCGAGTTTATTAAGCAGGCCAGCAGTGACTCAGTGGGTTCGCATCCAAAGGCTGAACCCCAAGAACAAAGGGGCTCAACAAAAACTCGAGATTTAGCAGACATATGAGAACCATGATGACCCTGTGATAGTTCATAGGCAACTAAAAGAAAACACTAAGAATGGCAGGGAGGTAATGTGTTATGTAAAGAACCTGGATATATTTATATTGGCACCATCAAATGCCCAATTGTAGTCTCTTTGTTACATGAATTAAATGAAACTGTGTCTAAGTCAATGTAATCTAGTGTTCTGCATTCCTAACAGATGTAGCCTTCAAACCTGTTTCCCCTTTAAGTCTGCTGCATCTCTCTAAAGTACTTTACAATTGTTCCTGCTACTCCAATCAGAAATAAGGTGGCTGTTCTATATTCTTCTCTTTGTCACAACTCCCATTCCTGTGCTTCCTTAATAAACACACACCCTGAGACCATCAGAAAGCCCTATGTCATTTCCTCAAGCAGGGTAGCATTGTCTTTATCTTCCCTGCCACTGCTCCAGTCTAAGTTTAATATAAAATCTTTTTGAACTGTCTCACCCCCTATTTTTTTTTTTGCTGCTTTTCCATCATTTCTCAGCCTAGTAGCTCTTTCAAAAATCCAAATGTTCCCTTATTGCTCTTCTGCTCAAAACCATTTACTACTCCAGTTGTAGCTATGATAGAATGAAAGTCACATGCCAAGACTTATGAGAAATTGCAAGGTCTACTGTTCCCTTCATCACCAACCCATCAGGTAGCATCTCAACCTTCCCTCAGGAAGATCCAGCCACAATGGTTTCTTTAAATTCTTTCATGCCTCAAGTTCTTTTTGCATGCTGATTCCTAACCTGCCCTCTGCACATCATATTTACATGGATAACTTCTTTTCACCCATTGTCCTAAAAGGCCTCTTTAGTTACCTTATTCAAATTAAAATCTTCTTTCCTATTTTACCTCATTGCTGTCAAAACCAAAGGCTTTTTTTCCCCAAAGCATCTAGTACCATCCTTATTAGTATCATTCAGGATCTACTTGGGTAAAGAAATCTTACCAGTTTGATTTAACAGAGAGAATTTAATAGAGAGACTTAATGAAACAGGAACCAGCAGATTGAAAGAAAAAAAAAAGAAGTAAAAAAGGAAAAAGGTGATAGCAGCTGCAAGAAGTAACTTACATCCTTAGGACTGGCAATTATGAATCTCAGTGCCCTGTAGGGCTGGGATCCAGAACTCTGGGCTGCCTCTTATCTCCTGCTGGTACTTAGGAACTTGGACGCAGGCCTGGGTGCTGGTTCTCAGATTCTAAGGCAGGTGCTGACTGACTGATGCAGACTTCTTGGACAAAGTACAAGAGGCTGGTTCTGGAGTGCTGTGGGAGAGGAAGGACTAGAAACTGCAAACAAATAGCAATGCAAGAGTAAATTGCCTGTCCATGGTGCCTGCTGGGGATGATAAGGAGAATAAGAAGGAGCAAGTTCCTTTAGCTTGCTATTGCTTTTTCATTTTTATCCACCCCCTACCAGCAGAGCAGCAGAGCATAAAATGGATCCACCTAGCAAAAGATAAAGATAGTTTGCAGAGTCCCCACTGAGCAATTCAGAGGAGCATACGGAAGGTTGGGCTTAGAGATGAGATATCACTGCTTCACAAGGAGTGTAGTATTTATTTATTTATTTATTGTATTTTCTTTCCTACTAGACAGTTTGTGTTTAGGACTCATTCTCTCTTTCTACTGTTGCAACAACTCTTCTTTCCCATCCCCTATGTGCCTAGCATAATAACAAGTAGGTAGAAAGTACTTAAGAAATCTCCCTGAAAAGAATGAATAATGGTCAAATTTATTAGATTTTTTTCCTCAAAATTACTTACCAAAATGTACAATTCAATATTTAGGGTCTCGTGTGATATCTTGGGGCTAAAAATATGAATAGAAGTCCGTTCCTTTCTATTTAGATATCTATTTAAGATATTCTCATATGATATTAAGTAACAAAATACATAGCAAACATTCATGTTTAAATGCTCAAAGAATTAAACAGGCAGCAAGACCTATAAGCTATTAAAAAATAAAAAGGTAAGTGTAGGTTTGGAATGATTCCAAAGACTCATGGAAAAAGTCATGATTTCAGGCAAGCTTGAGAAAGGGCAAATAAGCAGAGCCATGGTGGAGATGAGTTTGTCAGGGTTTAAGAGGATTCTGATGAAAGCAGGGAAGTGAGGGGTTAGTAGGGGAAGTCACTAGAAGAGCATATTGGAACCAACTATGAAAAGACAGGGATTCTGGAGTTAGAATTATGAGTATTACATAAAAGACAAGCAAAGTGGAACATTAAAAAGTTTAAAGCAAAGGAATGATGTGATCACTGAGGGTATTTTCTGAAGATAAATCTGATGCCCTCATGGTCAAATGATTGAGTGAGTATAAACTAGAGAGAGAAAGACCTGTTAGGAGACTATGACAACAATTCTGAGTCAGAAAAAGATGGTGGAGGTAGAAATAAAGGAAAGGCATTATAGATAGTATTCGAAAAAAGAATCAATATAATAAAGTACAGATGTATTCCAAGGTAAGAAAGGAGGAGAAAATACCTAGAAGTAATCTACAGTGACACAGTGATAAACAGAGAGGATTCACAAGGGTAGGAAGGGAAGAGACCACTGAATTTCATCAGAAGAATTTGATCATTAATGACATTACAATAGTAAAAGTCCCAGTAACTATTTTTCCTCAAACTGTGCAACTCAGTACTGTGAAAAGCTAACACGCATCAGGTAGAATGTATATATCTTCATCTTGAGGAGCTGGAGAAGTTTTAGGCTTCTGGAAATTATAATAGAGAGAGCATGTCTCATTTCCGTAGATATGCTCCTCGAAGTTGGATGACTGAGTGTTTTCATATAGCTCCCTTTCCATTTCTTCTTTAGCTTTGGGAGGGCCTACTTCCATATTTTCATAATTGCTGGGCATTCTGGTTCCCTTGACAGCAGATTTATGGCCTTGGGTTTCAACTGGAGTTTTAAGCCTTGAGCCAATAATGTGAGGAACCAAGCAGAGAGTTTTCTTACAGTCTTTCCTTCTGCTGTTTCTCCTTTGCAAAAACCTCGGTAAGATAAACTGTGTGGCATCGCGCTGTTTCCAGTGCCAAATACAGCCAATTCCACAGACTACCAAAAGCACAAGAAGGGCAATGCCTACAGAAATGGCCACTGATGTGTTTCCACAGCTTTCCAGCATTTCTGCACAAACTGCTGCGCAGTGGTCCAGTGTTGGCTTTAATGAATTCCTTGAACTTTAGTGTTGATCAAAAATGACTTTGGAAGATCTTTTAGGCATTTCTTCTTCAGATCTGAAAGAACATCACCTGGCAAAGTTCTGATGCAAGCAGAGGTGAGATTTTGGAAAATGGCTTGTTTTGTATGCGATGAAATTCACTTTACAATTCTAAGTATACAACTGCACTTTGTCAGGGGGATTTTATTCTACTCTACCTTCTTTTCTCCCTGTGAACCACAAAATGAAGCAAAAGTGAGTGGAAGATAATAGCAGAGTAGAAAACTTAAGAAAAGGAATGTTGAATCATCTGTTATCCAGAAACCTGCTATAAATTAAAAATATATAAATTGCATATTTAGTACATAGAATAATTTAAAATCTACTATACTTGCCTATACATTAAACACCAGCATGTAGTAAGTTTGTTCTTTTAATGCAGATAACATGAGCTATTGTGAGGACAGAAAAAGATTTTGAAGAACCCTTCCCCGCCCAAGCCTGAGTGGTTCATTACTCAGATGTTGACAGAGTTTTTTACAATAAGAACCACAGTTTTCAAGTGAAAAATAATGTTCTATCTGCAATAGAGGAAAAGGATTAAACCATACTTGTACAGTCATTTTCCAATGCATACTACTTCCTCTTTGAAGCCTTCCCGTTGCTCTTTGGAGTGGGTGGGACTATGTCTTTTCCCTAATCATTCTTCCCTCTGCAATCCCATAATAATTAGTCCATTCTCTATTACAGTATGACAATCTAAATTACAGGGAACTGTTGTCTTCCTACCTGGTTAAACGGTGAGCAGGGATCAACTTTTTTCATCTTTACGTTCCCAGAGAAAAATCAAAACACCTAGCACAAAAAAGGAATTCAATCAATTAATCAAATTAAAAATGACCCTAAAATTCAGCATCTGATTGCTTATGTTGATAGTTTAAAACTCAAGATATGTCTTCTAAAGGTCATATAGTTTATACTTAAAACATGACAACCGATCTTTGAAGTAAAACAAAATAGTTTTGTAAACCTTATCATCAAACTTTTATACATTCCAGCAAATAACTTTCACTTAATTAATGTAATGTATAGTAGTTTATGTTGATGCTTTAAAATGACTAGGAGAAAAAGAGGAAGCATTTAACTAAGCCAAATGTTTTATTCTGATTGTACCAGCAAAACACTTTTACTATATATTTTCAGCCTAGACACAGTTACATTCAGTATTGTTAAAAACTGCTTCTGGGGCTTTTATCACTGAATGTCTTAATCAACATAATTAATTTAATCCTACAGCAGCCATGTGAAGTGAGCACCCCATTTTATAGGTGGTAAGATAGAGGGTTACAGATGTTAGGTAACTTCCTTAACATCTAAGAGGTAATTGAATCAGGAGTCAAGATTTTTTCTGATATTTTTAAGAAATGGGTACTGAGTGCACCCATCAATATATTTGTGTAGCTTGATTAGCTCTGTAGCTCTTGAGGGCTGGGAATCAAACCTTATTTATCTTTGTATCACCAGCACTAGTCAGGGAAAGCTAATTTATTAAAAATTTGTTAATGAATGGAGCAATTTGCTTATAATAACAATATGGACAGTAAATAGGAAAACCCATAAAATAGTGCTCTGCTCTTACTGAGTACTCATGAACCATAACAAACATTTATCTAAGTTTACGATATAGTAATGTGCAAGTTTTCAACTTGGCATTTTATACAACACAATTGATCATGGGATACAATTTATTTATAAACTTTGATAAAATTATAGGGATAGACACCCCAGATCTAGACATTTTTTTATTCTCTTGGGGGACTTTGGAGAGTATACTGGAGTTCAGTTTGTAGCATTGCTGGATAAGATGGCTCACAAGTATAATCCCAGGCAGAGGTTGGGAGGATCCTGGTTTGAGGCAAACTCAGGCAAAAAGTTAGCAACTCAATCAATAACCCAGGTGTGGTGGTGTGTGCCTGTGATCCCTGGGATGCCTTAGGTAGCAGGATCATTGTCTAGGCCAACCTTAGGACAAAACTGTGGGATCCTATCTGAAAAATAAAGGAAAAAAGGCATGGAGGTGTGCTCAAGTGGTGAGAGCTCCTGCCTAGAAAGTGTGAGTCCCTGAGTTCAAATGTCAGTGCCTGCAAAAAGAAGACATTTCAGCATAAATGATTACTTAATTATATGTCTTTGCCAGAATATTTACAAAATAAATTTCAAATACTTATTGGAATTAATTATCTTTTAGGAAGGCCTGCAACAGAAGTGGGGCTGGAGTTCAGGATGACTAACTATTGTCCTTCAGGCAGCTGAAGATAAGGTCATAAATTGCCCTCTCAGTTTCTCAGAGTAGAATTCATTTTTGCCATCTGCGTTGTCCTATGCAGAGTATATATTCCACTACATCCCTGCTATCAAACTGTTTGTTCACTGAGATAAAGTAAAAGAAATGAATCCTTTCCCTGTCTTCAAAAAAAACCTGAGAGATTTAAACACAGACCTGTAATAAAAAAAATATTTTAAACAGGAGCCCCTCAAAGATAGTTTAGCACCTTAAAGAGTTTCACTTTGTCCAACTTGAAAAAGACTCTTCCAGTTTTGGAAAGCAGTTCCAGCAGGTTACCTAATAATTCTCATTTGTCTTAAAATCACAAATCTCTGCTAAGCTGGTATTTTCAAATCCTTTTTATTGAGAAGCAAGTCAGTCAGGAGAAAAAGCACAACCATAGGCGTGGGAGAGCACAGACACCTGTGAGAAGCATTATCATCACTCCCACTTGTAAATTCCTATTTCCCTATAAAACTAAAAACTGGTAGGGTAAAAAGTCATTAATTAAAAAAATTGTTTCTTATCATTTTTTGTTACCCAAACAATGTAAATCAGGTTCTTACTTACGGCTCTGGCTTGTTCTTTTGGTTATGCTTCAAACCTGGTTTGCTTCAGAGCTGTTCCTCTTTTTCACTTTGGTCAGTTACTTCCTTCTTCACCTCCTCCTTTCAGATTATTTAATATTTGCAAAGTTTCCTGGCTTTTGAGGAAGTTCTTATCAGATGTTCCAGAATTAAGATAAATGACCCAAGTTTTTAAATAAAGAAGTTTGGTCCTTCATCTTTAACAGGCAATATGTTTTTCAAATGCATCAGAAAATGATGCATAAAGTCTACACAGTTTTTCTTTTCTGAGCAATATATGCAGTCTTCAGTTTAGAGTTAATATCATTTCACTTTTTCTTGAAATTCTTTTTAAAAAGCTACATGTTTAAATTTCATACAATATAGGTCTTGTTTGTTTGTTTATTGATATGATCATTAGAACAATCCTCATTTCAATATATAAGTCCCAATGCCCACAACTTGCTTCAATACTTGTCAAACCATTGTTCCAATTTTGTTCAGAAAAGTGTTAATATCCTTTTGAATTCATTAAAGAGGAGTTTCCCAAAGTTTAATCTCAGGCATATTACTTCGGTATGTGCTAGTAGGTCTTCCATCAAGTAAATATGTGGAACATTGCTTTTTAGGAAATTCGTAGACACATCAGAACATTAAGGTCTCAGCAGTCTTACAGGGAACAAACTAAAGAAAGCCAAATAAGAAAGAAAAACTGCTTAATTTTGCTTAATAACAGTAGGCATTCTGTTCCCAGCACTAAGTGCTCTAAACCTTTTGTGTAATCCTCAGGAAATCCTAACAACAGCCATATGAGAGAAGCAGTGTTAGTCCTATTTCATAAGAAAGTGGAAGCCAAAAAGTTAAAATAGTCACTCCCCAATGAGGCCTAAATTGCCCTCAGCACCTATGTGGTGAACCACTATACTTGCCACTCCGTTAGGGTGAATAACATGTTTCCTATATAGAATCCTTATTTAACGTCATCTTTCAGAGCCTAACTCCCTGGAATCCAAAAATGGGAAATGTTGAATTAGAAATTATAGGTGAATTAAATCAATGATCAGAAAAACAGTTATGGTAATATTGCCTTTTAAATTGTACTGGAACTTCTTCAACCATGCAGGATTAACTTTGTATAAGGTGGTTTAAAAGAAGAGGATTAAGTCATTGAAATGCCAACCTGACACTGGAAGAGCAGTATTCTTAATATATATTGAGCACTGACATTGTGCCAGGCATTGTGCTAAGTTACCAGATGGCAATAGTGAATTAAGCTCCCTGTAGCCCTGAAAGCCTAGAAGAAGAGGCTGCCATATCCACTGATTATTTCCGATCAGGTGGCTAAGGCTAAGAAAGACATGGGTGTGGATAGGGGACAGTGGGGCAAGGAAAAGGGTATCCAGCTCAGGGTAGTCAGGAAAGGTGAGACCTAAGAGGATGAGGTTCATAGAACAGAAAGGAGTTAGTCAAGTCAGGATTATTCCTGACAAAGATTCTGGAATGAAGATTATGAAGTTGTGAGGCTATGAACTTGATGTGCTCTACACTGTCACCTTTGTACTTGACTGCAATATTAGCACCCCTCCAAACAACACACGCACACACACACACACACACACACACACACACACACACAGTGCATGGAATGTCATAAATGCAATGCTAGAAGTTAGAACACTGACTATCATTCAGATTTTGCCTGTTAAACTAAGGAAAATTATTGAACTCCTATCATTTTAGGTTTTCTGGATAAGAACATTATAGAAGGATGTTACCTGGCACATTCCTCAAATAGGAATTTTTTAATGATTTTGTTTGCACATAATAGTTGTACAAGGGGACACACTGTGATATTTACATATGATTTACCCCTTCCATTATTCTCTCTTTTCTCCCTCTCCCTCCCTTCTTAGAACAATTTCAATAGGTTTCATTCTTCTGTTTTCATACATGGATACAAAATATATTCAAATAGTAATTTTTTAAGGTAATAGAAATAACCATTCTTTATGGAAGAAATGCTCTATATGTTCAAAATACAATCATTGCATAATTACTATTTTATGAGATAGGTGTTATGCCTTGAAATGTATATTTTCATACTTCTCAATCTTGGCCTAGAAGGTACAATTTGATTTTCTTCTTATAATGGTTTGAGTAGAAAAGGGTTTAGAAGGTATTTTATTGTTTTATAGTACAATTTGGACTTGGTAACTTACTCAAGTAAACCTCCTAATAATTGATGATAGCACCTACCTTATTGAATTATAACTTATATTTCTGGCAAATTTTTGTGTCAGTGTCTGTCTACTTTTTCAGACAGGGACTGAGTAATATTAGTGATGGTAGACATGGGCAAATGTTTGGATATGTGGATTTTCTTTGAAAGTTTGCCAGACTAATGGAATTTTCCTGGCTATTCTGTAGGAAACCCAAAGTCTACATGCTATTTGTTAAGGGTAGGATGGGAATCTACATTTTAGCATGATGCATTATATTACCTGGTAAAGGTAAGATATTTAGTGGCAGCAGATTCTTTAATATTGATCAGTTTATGGGATTAACTCGAAAGCAACAGGAGCATTAATGGAAGGAGTTACTGTCTTTCAACTAGTAAAGTTTCACTATATGGGTGAAGGGGTTATGAAAATTTAATGTGAGGAAATTGAGCACTGAAGGTGAAGAGATAAGGTATGACTGAAAACAAGTCAAAATGAAACCATTGTTGCTTTAGTTATGCTGTCAGCAGCTGGCAAAATTAAAATACTTAATTTTGGGGATATGTAGGATGGATTTTAGTGGAAAGGATCTCAGATATTATTTAGGGAAGGAATTCATTCTTAAACCTGAACCAAAACTTATGAAGGTTTTGTTTTAAGTGAAAATTCCTAGAACCTTGGGAGATTCTGTTTCACTGGGTCTGGAATGGAGCCCAAGAATCTTTATTTTATTTATTTAATTTTTGGGGGTGGGACTGGTTTGCAAATGCAAAGCAGGTACTCTACTGCTTGAGCCTTGCCTCTAGTCTGGAATCTTTATTTTAAAAGTGAAAAGCACTTTAAAAGAGAATGCTATATTTTATAGACTGTGAAGAGAGAGTATTAATTCCGATTATATACTCTGCTGTACTATAAGATATTATTTCCTTTAATACGTATCATGCAGATAATTTCAATTGACAGTTAATTTTGGAAATCACTGATACAAATGAACCCTCAGGCTCAGGGGAACACAGTGCTATGATTTACTTCAGAGCCTCCATCAGCCTAGAAAGTAAAAACCTGGCCTATATGTAAACATCCAGTCACAGGAAGTTAGGGAAAAGGAAAAGGGAGAGTAAGCCCTAAGGAGGAACAAAGAGAATGAACCTCTAAAGGTGTCAGTCTACCAGTGGCCCCTATGATGTGAACTCTGTCACAACAGTTCTCAGGTCTAAAACGATGCACTCTGATATAGGTCATTAGGCAATTTAGAAAGAAATCAGATTACCGTTCAGAGGTTACAAAAACTTCGAAAGAAGAAAAAGGTAGAAGACCCAGAAATTCTACTCAAATATTAAACAGTAACAAATGTCATTTCTCTTTATAGTAGCTTCAGTCATAATATCCCAAAATTTTAGAAACAGCACAAAAGTCTATAAGCAGTAAAATGGGTGAATGTTGCATGGTAAATTCACACAAATTAGTAGTAAACTTCAATGAAGAAAAACAAACCATAAATGGGTCCAGCCTTATAAATGAATATCATGACATGGAATTAAAGAAGCCATGGAGGAAAGACTGCAGACTGTGTGATTCCATTAGTGGAGGTCAAATTCACATAAGTGCACGAGGAGGCCTTCTCAGATGCTTGAGATTGTCTGTATCGTGATCTTCCTGGTGGTTATAGACGTAACATAGATACAGATATATCTTTCTTAGCCATTCATCAAACTGTTCACTGAGGATTTGTGAACCTTATATAAAATTTATTTTAGAGAAAATAAATTGGAATGATAGTGAGAGTTCTTTCAATAGTCATGAAAAAGTGAGATAATTAGATATATCTTATTTAATTTTGAGAATCATTGGCAAGCTAGGTTACTAGTTTGAATGGAGGAATAATTGCTAAACTGTAGATAGACTTCGAGCTAGATGAATTCTAACTTTATCTGGGCCTTTCTGAGTCTAGAGGTTGGTGAGGCTGTGGGTAAAAAAAGATGGGCGTTATTGGTAAGTCTTGAGCTTCAGCCTAGTCAAAGTAAGACTTTTCTATTTCTGAGATCATGTATATGGTTTCTCACTGACACAGCTTGATTTACTCAAAGAATGTGCTCCCTCCCCAAAAGTCATGCACAACCTAACTCATGTAGGTAAAGCAATTTTACCTTAAAAAAATCGGCATCTTGGGCAAGAAACGCTTCTCTTCATCATCCACAAGACGTCCATAACGTATGGTGTGATTCCTGAAGCTCCTTCAAATACTAAGTTCAAGTGAACTATGTAAAAGTGGATGTCACCACATCCAGAGACTCGTAAGGTTTCGTGTTTAGCATCTACTTCCTTTTAGTCTAACTCCCTTTCTTCATAAGTCTTTCCTAATTGCTACACGGATCAGATAACATGACATGAAACTTGCTTCAACTTCAGTTGAACAATGCTCCCACTTCTTCCCCCAGTCCTTCCTCTTTTATACCTTCAAATAAAAACAAAATATTGAAAAATTGGGTAGCCATCAAATATGAAAAATTAAATTAGACCATTTTATTTATTCATCAATAAACTGAATGCTGCAGATTTTTAGCATTTCTACAGTAGATACCACTCACTTCAAACTGTATATGCAAGTTCTCAAATCAGGTGACCTATGCACAATTTCAACAGATTTTTGTGTTCATTTGCAGAGAAGACTATTATAAACTAGAATTAATAATAGACCCCAAATTAGTCATTATTTGATTCTGCCAACTTCTACAATAAATGTTGAAAAGCATACTATAAGATATAATTTAAAAAATAACTAGTCATATTTTCAAATTTCATACTGTAATCAGGCTAGATTTGAAAGCTGCTAGGTTTACAGAGATCTTTCTCACATACAGACATCATCAATCACTGTCACCATTTCAAACCTAGCGGGGGGCTAGT